TGAGGCTATGTTCTGAGCATGGGATAATCTCCTATTCTGTGTGGATTTTGTCTCCCATTGTATGGAATTTCTTAAATACTATTTTCACAAGTGTTAAATATGATTGACTTCAAAGGTGTTGAGATGTTACTAATAAAGATATTTCTCAAATTGAAGTAACAAAACATTTATAAATATAAACTTTATCACAAATTGTTAATCACACTTGCATATGCAGGAAAATGAATGATTTGAATTTATTCTTTATGTTTTAGAAGATTTATTAAAGTTCATAACTTCATATAGTAGCATAATTGTGTGGTATTTATCTATCAATGATACATTTTAATTGAATAATTTAAAAAACTAGTGCATGCTAGAAAAAAAGAAAATGGCCACTCATTTCTGAATTGGAAGGAATACTAGTCTTACCATATCCTAATTCTTACTAAGTTGAAAAAAAAGGTACAAAAATAAGCAAAAACATATTTAATCGCTATTAAACAAACTGCTAAGGGTGAGTAGGCCAAATCTATATAGTCTAGTAGTGGGGACCTGCCCTGCCCTCTCTAGGCCTCCTGGCTATGCCAGTGCATGCTACAGGGAGATATAATTTTATTAACTGTGACTGGTATTTGTAGTTTTTTGCTTTTCTGGTAATTGTTCATTTTGTTGTGTTTTCAAGGTGGGCGCAGAGAAGATGATTGGACGTGCCCTAGGTGTGGCAATGTTAATTTCTCATTTAGAACAACTTGCAATATGCGAAATTGTACACAGTCTAGGCCTGCTGATCACAACACTGTAAGATGTTAACAGCTTATAGATTAGAATTAGAAACTAGTTGCAAAGCTAAATCTTCTATTTTGAATGCAAGGAGTGGTTGTGCCCTTTGGTTTAAATTGCAAATTGTTGGTAATTAGTCATTGCATTGATGATAATTTCCAGAACTTATGTGTCCATGTATTACGAAGCTCAACTGAGACCTCCCTTGAGCTTCTAACGTTGCCTTTCAGTATGGGAAATCTTTTTCTTTATTTCATGGTTGAGTGTGGGTGCACAGCACCCTTTTCATTCCTCATCAAGATATTTGTACTCTGTTTTAGTATTGCTGAAGCATGATGATTTGTCTCCTTTCAGAAACCTATAGCTAAGCCATTCCAACCACCACAAGGTTATTCGACCTTGGCTCCTTATGTCGGTTCTGGTGCTCCCTCTTCAATGTTTTTGGGCATACCATCTCATGGTTCCTCTGTGTTTAATGCAACATCTATTCTGCCCTATGATGTTCCATTTTCTGGAGGCTCAGCTTATCACTACAACTATGGCAGCCGTATTTCTGGAGGCAGTCCCTTTCAACCCCTGCATTTATCTGCCCCTCCTCCTTACTCCAGTGGAGCTATTATGGGGAATGGTAAGTTCATTTATGATGCGGATTTTGCTTATTATTTAATATTTTCTTTGGTATGTCATTTGTTTCAAATGATCTTCGTTTCTCTACCTTTTATCCATTTGACTGTGGAAACATCTTTCTAAAGTGAAGCTGTTTCAACTCTAATTTTTTCATCAACTCTGATATGTTTTCATGAAATTGCATTTATGATAGTGCATTCTCCTTTGGTTCCAGGTGGGGTATATGGTGTGCGGCCTCCTTTAGTGGACAGATATGGCCTGGGATTACCAATGGGTTCTCCAACAATGGTACGTACCAATTCTTCCATTTCATGACACGAGTATATGATAGATAAATCATAGCAAGGTCACTCTTTTTTTCCCCCTGTTCAGCTACTTAAAAATATTGATTTGCTAAATATGGGTTCTTAGTGATGCATCTGTGCAATGTGCTTCTCTCTCCAATCTGTGTGTTCACATTTTTAAAATGTGGACAAGTATACTTTGTCTTGATAGTTTTTACTTTTTACTGCTTAACTATATACTAGCGTTAGTCATTTGAACTCTTTCTACAGGGATCAAGGCCAGGATTTTATCCAGAGGATAATTCTCAGAAGAAAGGTGGAGCAGTGAGATATCTCTGATATATTTTGGATCCATAAAGCCAGCACAGTTTAGCTTATTTTTTTTGCTTTATTTATGCATCACAGATGGCACACGTGATAATGATTGGAAGTGTCCAAAATGTGGAAATGTCAATTTTTCATTCAGAACAGTTTGTAATATGAGGAAGTGCAATACCCCGAAGCCTGGATTCCAGGTTTGTGACTCATTCTCAGGCAGTTTGTAACAAGCCAAAATTTCTTCTCACCTTGGGTGCTGAAAATAGCTCTGATTTTGCTTCAATTTTACCATGAACATGATCTATGTTAATATTCTAACTTGATATCATGTCTGTATTTTCAGGGTGCAAAATCTGTGAAGAATTCTAGTAAGTCATTTAGGTTCAAATATTGTGCATAGTTATTCCATGTCTCTGCCTCACAATTTATAATTTTTTTAATCAGATACACCTGAGGGAAGCTGGAAGTGTGAAAAGTGCAACAACATAAACTATCCATTTAGGACCAAGTGTAACAGACAAAACTGTGGAGCTGAAAAACCATCTGAGTCGAAGAAGTCTCCATCACCAGTAGCAGATGAAAATGATCAGGTCTGTTGTCCTATGTATCAATTCTGTAGAACCTTCTGTTGCTTAGATTTGCCACTAAGTTTGTCTACTATCCGTATGCCTTTTGTAAGATTGAAGTACATACTTGAGAAACTGAATGAGTTTTATAACTCCATGGGTGGAGCAGCCCCCTTTCAAGTTCTTCTTCCTCATGTCATAGTTCTTGAGCTGAGCAGATTTTGTAGTGCTTGCTTTTTCATATTGTTTACTTTGTTGGTACATTTGCATTTATTAATTCACAGTTGTCTACTCTTCCAGTGAGTACTAGGGCATTGTTTTAAGGGTTGAGAAGGTCCAGAGTTGTCATCCAGCATGCTCAGTGTGGGTGTCTGAAAGTCAGTCGTTCAGTTCTGTTGTCTTCCCGTTGCTGCAGTTGTTGAGTTATGCTACCTACCATATTATGTTGTCAATTTGTATTAACTAAAATTAATATACTTGTGGTCTTTGTGGATTTTTATAATTTTATCCAGTCACACTATGTCTACTAGCTTGTTTTGAAGATATATTGTTAAAGGTTGATTTGGTTAATGTTGAATAGGGTTTTGTTTTGGTATTTGTTGGATGGGTTTGCTAACATCCAGTCCCTTTATTATTATGGTCAGTTATTCAGCTCAAAGTAACATCATTTACTCCCTGATCTTTAGAAACCAATTTCGCCTTAGGAGAATTCCATTTGGTTTGTCAAATTAGTATTCCTGTACTGAGTTGAGTAGAGAAATCGGTTGGTGATCACATCTAACATTATTGAACAGATCATCGCCGTCTAAAGACGCATGTAATATCCAATGAGTTACCAGGTTGTTTTCCATGTTTGTGGTCTGCGTATTTTTATTCTTGTTATAAGTTACCATGTGTCTGTCTTTTTATCATCTTGTCTTTGAGTTGATGACTATCTGTTGTATGCTGTTTTGGGCCATAACTAAGGTGGCTTCCTGTAACTTCTGTGGGTTATTGGAGTATATTTGCTACGATGGAACATGTTTAATATCTTGGGTTTCTGTGAGTGCCCAAAAGTTTTCTGCTTCTTCCTAGCATGCATTTTGTGTCCTTGGTGTATGGTGAAATGCAGAGCGAGCCCACTACCCATGAGTGCAATGTTTGTGAGGAAGCATGAGGTTTGGGGAGGGGGGGTCAATTATTTCCATTGCAGCTACCGACAATGTGTTGCTGTCAAAGGCTTTGCCACTAGAGTCTATTCTAGTTTGTTTATACATGCTCGTATATGTGGGACTGTCTGGTTGTCAACTTTACGAATTTCCATTTTTTCCTAGTAGTACAACAGATTGGAAGGGCAATATATTTAAGTAAATGATCATGTTTTACTGTACCGACACTCATGGGTGATTGATTGGTAGGTTGAATTAATAGTGGTGACCAACACATCTTATTTGTCATTTTACTGCATTGGAGCCAGTCAAAATTCTATCCAAAATGTCTAGTGGGGCTCGCTAAGTTGGTTCGACCAGTCATCCTAGTCTTGCTCCAACGGCAGCGTGGGAGTTTGAATTAGAAGTAATGACGAGTTCTTGTGCGCAGAGCGTACAAGCAAGGTGGTGGAAACTTAGAGAGACCTTGACTGATCAAAAGTGATGAAAACTCTTTGTGTACGTAGAGATTCTGGGAACTTATGATTAGTTTAGCGTAAATTAAGAAACCTAATGTCTATAAAAAAAAGACCAAGTTTTGTGAGTGGGATGTGATGTTAGAGACCACAAAGCAAGTGTTTGTAAAGAGTGTCATCAAATGTGGAAGTGGGGTTAGATTTCATGGCACTTGTGAACAGTGTAGGAAGGGATAAGAGCATCCACAATGGTTGGGGAGAATTGGGAGATAATGTAAGAGTGATTAGGAGAGAGAATGTGGGAAGGGGAGGAAAAAAAAATAAAAAAATCAAAATTAAAAAACAAAAAAAAAATAAAAAAGTAAAGGGTCAGGGAACAGCGCGCCTGACGCGCCCGTGTGGGAGGCTGCTGTGCGCGAAACGCGCACAGCAGCCTCCTTTTTCTTCTCTTTCCTTTTCTTCCTCCCCAATTTTGTAGAACAAATATTTTGATAAATAACCCCACCTCACATTTGTTATTATCCCCACCCAAGATAATTCATCTGACATTATCTCCATAATATCCACTGATATGGATGCTCTAAGGAGAGTGAGGTTGTCCACTCCTTACGTTGGATTGCATTGCAGTACTAGGTGAAAAGTTGGGCAGTAGTTATTTTGGAAAGGTAAATTTTGTGAAAAGCAAGTTAGCTAAATTGGGACCAAAAGTAGGTGGATGGGTACATCAAATCTTTTACAACATCCCCTGGACCACACGCTTAGTTAACCAAAAAAATCATGACAAGTTTAGCATTCATTACAATTGGAATGGACCCCAAGAACTTCTCCCTAACCTCCAAATAACAAAAAACCAAAAATATCAACTACTATATAGATCCATCCCTACATTATAATAATAATGAACAACTATTTCACTATGAGTAATTTAGAAGCCATGCATTAGCAAACTTCAAACCAGAGAATCCACATGTTCAGAGGCTAAAACGACAGCCGTTCACAGTAATTTCCACCGCTGTCACAACCAGTTTACAACATCACTGGTGAATCTAAAAAACGAGGGAAAAAAAAAATGGCATTGAAAGATTTTTCAGTGTCAGTTGAATGCATTGAGATAAAAGTCGGAATCTTTGAGAAGCGGGACATCCAGAAGGTGAGTGCCGCCACTATTAGTATTCGAGGCCAAGAAATGGCCCCGGAAATTGGCGGCTGGGTGTTGTTCCGCTTGCAAGTACTCCGACGGGGGAAGTGGAAGGCCGAGAGGGAGTGCGTGCATCACTGGCTCGGGTAAGCCGTTCTGATTCGCGTGTGTAGGGTGATGATGATCGAGTGAAGTGGAATTATGTTCACATGAACCCCAGGAAGACGTTGACAGAAGAGAGAGAGCACGAGGAAACTCCTGTGTCGTGCTTGTATTTGAAGGGAACACCGATTCCTTAACACCTGATATAATAAACCAAAACGGGGTATCATTTAGTACAATAATAATCACTTGATGCATCACGGTTTTAACAAAAGTAAATTGTTCAAAGCATACCTTGTGTGAAGCTTTCGGGTGTGGTGCCCTTGGATGCTAAGAATGTATTACCGTGCTTACTGATTGAACTTGGCGGCTGAATCCCCGACATGTATGGTTGCTTGTTCGTACTCCCGGTTTTCTCAGGCTCCGAAGAAAACCCTCTCGTAATCGTGAACTTGGAGGGATACGCGTTTTCCCAGGCTAAATTTGCAGCAGTTTTAGGGTGAAAAAGCGGGGCATTGTTCAGCACAAAGTTTATTTGTTGCCTATCACCATCTGCAAAACCAAAACACCCGTTCAAACATGGAAACGGGCCAGAATAGAACTACATCTTTCCGGGCAACAATTCAAAGCTCAAAGTTCGTTCACCATTACTAACTTCGAAAGCTCAAACCTCATAAAAACTAGTATTTGTATCGTTTTGAATAGTCACAGGTTTTGGAGCATTTGCAACAAGTTAGTTAATAGTTAAATTTAGTCTGACGGAGTCTCGATATTTGTGGAAAAAAATGGAATGAAATCACAAAGAACGAATGCAACATACCATAAAAGGATGAAGACAGCCTCGCTGAATTAAACTGGAAGGTATCCTGATGCGGCTTGCGGCGCCTCGCATTGTGATCGGAAAGTCTACGGCGACAGCTACGCTTCTTTTCGTCGAATTCGGACAAGCTATGGAACCTTCAACGAAGAATTATTGCAAGAAATTCTTTAAGTAGATCAAGAAATTCGTCTCTTGGGAAAGTGGAATATATTGGGTAACCGCTAATTTTAAAGTGTAATCCTTTAAGACCTTATACCTGCTACATTGTTGGCAAAACCGACGTTCTAGGCCTCCTACGATGACTTTTGGGTATTTGGAATGACTTTCGCAAACTCTATGCTTCCGGTGATACTCTTTCGCCGAAGAGAGATCAACGTTGCAGCCTTCAACTTGGCAGCGGGGAATGGTTGCGGTCTGACTAGACGGTTTTCGTGTCTTTGCTGTGGGGCCAGACGGCATTGGAGCCGTGGAAATTGACGAATCCTTAGTGCCGTTTCCAGCACAGTTGTTGTTCTCGAAATATGTCCTCTTACCGAGCTTCAGACCAATCCACGCTTCTACCGAGCCAGCCGAGGTATCCTGAGGCGGGGAGTTTTCGGAGACCTCGGGTCTGCACTGTTTCGGTTTCTTCCCAAAATCCCCGGGATAACCTCCCTCAAAAGTGAAATTGGAGTCTTTCATCCCATCCTTGGGCGAGGAGTTAGTGGAGGCCGATATCGTGCTCTTAGCCGAAGAGCCTTGGCCCACATCGGAGCCATAACCCCCGCCTCCCCCCGATAAATTGAACGATCCATCGCCTAATTCGCCCTCCTCTACAATCCCCCAGTCCGTCAATTGTAGTTTCTTCGGATTTTCACAGGCTTTTGAACTATACATAGCTAGGCTTTCCCAGTCCCACTTTGCGTTCCACTCCATCTTCTTCAAGAACGAATTTATCAAATAAATCCCACTCAACTCTTTACCCACATGAATGCATAAATAACTGGGCGTTAAATCTGCAAACCGTGACAAAATTAACAAAAATCGGGCAGATAAGTCGAGCTCCAAGCTAAAGAAAGAATCTACCTTACCATCTCGGGTTTATGCAGGCTAGCATCCCTGGATCAGAAACTGATATAAGAAGCAGAGTTACAAAGTAGAATTGCCTTAAAAAGTATAAACTTCCACGATCTTATCCCCTTTTTATCCACACAAAAGTGTTCCCGAACCAATTCAAGACCCCAAAGCAAGCTGAAGAAGCAAGATAGAGATAGCGGGAGTCAATCAAACGTGTTATGAACTTGCAATCAATCAGAATTGGTAAAGAATCCCCGGCCCCGGGGTAACTATTTCACAAAGGCCTCAATCATTCAGAGCTTAATGGTTGGTAAAGAAAGGAAGAATTCCCTAACACACTAAAAAATCTTTAGTGAAATGAGATCACTAACTACACAAAACCAAAGAGATTGATTAATTCTGTCTTTATCCCTCAATGTAACTCCAATCATTCAATATTTCAATCCCATCCCTTTCAAGAAAAGTAGAAAAATCATATTTTTCACCATTTTACTGAGCACCCAATAACAGACAATAACTCATGAGTAGGACTGATTTAGACCCAAATTAGATTAGTCAACAAAATACCCTTATCCCCTAAATTCCAACCATAAAACCCAAAGTCCCTTTCAAGTTTCAACAACCTCTCCCCCCCACCTAATCACAGTTAAACATATACATAATCAAACAATAAGTTTCATTTCACTCACAAATTGGATGTTAATAATCACTGTTTATCAAACAAAGATTGCCCATCTTCTTCACATTTCCTTTCTAAAAAGTGAGATAATAAAGAAAAGAGCTTCCCAACCCCCACCCCCATCAATGGAGGGCTTGTATGGTCCCAAAGGCCCCAACTAGCTCTTAATGATCTGCTCCTGACGTGGAGACACATCATTCTCTTGAGAAAATAAGAAAAAATGAGGAGAAAATTCAGGGAAAAAAAGAGCAATCTTTCTTCTTTCTTCTTTCTTCTACCTTTTCTCCCCTTTATGAAACTTTCAGACAAATTTGGAAATTCCACCTCAATCCCCCCCATACCGCAATCAATGAGAAATTTACTGTTTATAGATAAAGAAATGATTTTTTCACTTACCCTTTTATGTTATGATGATCTGAAAATAATAAGCTTGAACCCGAAATATGAAGTTGACGACTGTTTCTTTTCCCAGTTTACTTTCACTTTCTCGTATACAGAGGAAAATACTAAATGGAAGGGGAGAAAAAGGTTACCGCAGAGAGACAATGGGGAGTTTCCAAGAAAAGTTAGAGAGGAAAGAAACAGTGTAGAGAGAGAAAGAGAGAGAGAGAGAGAGATTGAGTGAGTGTGACTGTGAGCAAGAGACTACAACGTGGGCTGTTGCTTTTACCTAAGCAAGCTGTAGGAAAACCAAACCACAAATATGTTTTTTTATCAAACCTTAATATTTTAAGGCATAGTTTTAGGTGAGAATGTGTGATATCTATCGCTCTATATATATAAGCAAGTCATACTCAACATTTGGGGTAATCCTACCCTACTTTGATGCCACAATGTCTACAAGAATCAACAAAGTATACAACTACAAATAACAAGTTTAAAAAAGACCGGAGTCACCGTGATTTACAGCATCTCAAATGTTCAGTCGAGTCGGGGTCTGGGAGACCCTTAGGTTTCGAGATTCAACATTTTGTGAGAAGTTTAACATTATATTTATTATTATTGTACACGAGCTATCAGTTTTGGTCCTTCGATTATTACTTGCTTTTAACATTTGATCCCAACTTTTAATTTTGAGATTTGGTGCACAAGTATCTTGCTGACCAAATCTCCATCAACTACTTGTCGAAAAAGTATAAATTTCTCTTATTTAGGGTTACTACAACGAGAACAATAGTCTATTTAAATTTAAATACATAATACTATTACTAAAATTTGTTCTTGTAACAACTCCATATGAGAGAACTTACATTTGTTGGCCCGAAATTCACTGACATGATTAAATGTGACAACAAAAGCACCAAATGTAACAGAATTAAAAGTTTGAGAATCAAATTAGAGAAGTGAATAATAGTCAAAGGACTACAAATAATAACATCTTTGAGTTTTTTATCATTTTGGTCCCTTGACTATCGCTCATTCTCAATTTTGCATTCCGACTTGTAATTGCACCCAATGTGATCCCTTGACTTTAAAAAATTACCCCAATTTGATCCTCCGTTACATTTTTCATCAACTAGCTGTTAAGTTCGGGGGTATTTTGGTCCATTCATTCGTTGTACGCCTTAGCTTCTTCTTTTTCCTTTTCTTTTTCTTTTTCAGTCTTGAATCTTGATTGAATGTGAATTATGGTTCCAAAATCTATATTCCAGAATCTTGATTCAATGTGAATTTCGACGGGTTTGTATAACTGCTCGAAGCTTGAGTACTTGGACCTCTCTCAGAACTTCTTCGTGGGCCTCATTCCTTCCGACATTGACTAGCTCCGGAACCTCCGACACCTCAACCTCGGCGGCAATAATTTCACCCGCGGCGTCCCGCCTACGATCGGGAACATGACGGAGCTCCGATTTCTACATCTTTACTCCAATATGTTCGATGGTACTTTCCCCGTCGAAATCTCCAAATTGTCGAATCTCGAGAGCCTGGGAATGGCGTTCAACAATTTCTTGCCGGCAGCCATCCCGCCGGAATTCGGTGAGCTTAAGAAGCTCAAGTTTATCTGGTGGCGGGCTGCGAATTTGATCGGAGAAATTCCTAGAAGCTTCAAGAATCTATCAAGCCTTGAGCATTTGGATTTGGCTTATAATAGTTTAGAAGGGTAAATCCCTAGGGGATTGTTCTTGCTCGCTAATCTCAGCGAGGTTTTCTTGTTAAAAAACGGGCTTTCGGGTCATATTCCGTCGGGTTTTGCAGAATCTTCTAGATTGTCCGAGGTTGATTTGTCAATGAACAATCTGCTAAATACTCTGCTCCATGGCTAATCTTTAAGAGGAAGAGCATTCCGTTTCCCTTCGGCTTTTCTAACCCGCAAAGGCCCAAACATCATAGGTGAGGGTCTCTGTTACCCCCCCCCCCCATCTATGTTTTCTCCCCAAGTCTTAGCTTCCTAATTTCGTTTTATTTACAAAATACTAAATTTATAGTTGAAGAATATAAGTATTTTGGCTTTTGATTTGCGGCAGTTTGATTTGAATAGGGGTGGTGTGTCTTTTTCTATCAAGAAATGATTGGAGAGGCTTAACATTTATGGAGGTGGTTTATCATATAAGCTGGGGATTTTTCGGTTTGCATTTGGAGTTATGATTTTTTATTTGGAGTTTTTTCTGAACGTTAAACAATAGGAACACGATGGAGGGATGAACAACAGTTGATTTAGGCGTGTAGCAGATGAATGGACCAAAATACCCCTGAACTTAACAGCTGGTTGATGGAAAATGTAACGGAGGACCAAATTGGGATAATTTTTTAAAGTCAAGGGACCACATTGGGTGCAATTAAAAGTCGGAATGTAAAATTGAGAATGAGCGATAGTCAAGGGACCAAAATGGGAAAAAACTCTAACATCTTTATTTTTTTTGAATGTTACTGGCCCTATTACATTGTAGTATCTGTTCATATACTTTCTCAACCTACTGAAACACAAAGAACCAATAACGCCTCCACTGAGTATAGTATGTCTTTTCTTTCAATTAAAAGTACATCAACTTTACTTGGTATCCAATGTTTAAATAATAATAATAATAATATATGTATACTTCAACTAAAAATTTTTATTTATTTTTTTATTATTGTTGGTAAGTATTTCTTAGATATTTATTGTGTATAAACAATCCCAGTAGGTCTATTTGCCATGTCGTGTAGATATATGGTAGGTGGTAAGTTTACCTAAAGTAAAATTATAACTTGTAAAAAAAATTGTTTGCTATTTAAAATAAACGTTTTATTAAAATGATTTTTTTTATATAAAAAAAATAATTGTATGTAGAGTAATACTATACATACTTCAATTCTTCATTTTTTTAACTCTCTATTTACTTGACGTGTTTTGATTAATTTCGAAAAAAGAGCAATTGTCATTCCCCGTGGTGGCCTCCCACCGCCTAGCGCTTAGGCGCCGATTAATCGGCGCCTAGGCGCGATTTTTGCAACACTGCATGTAATAGAAATTTTATTCTATAGGAGTCTTATATCACTTCACTACTAGATGATGTGTACTTGATAAACCTCGCATTGTAACCTTAACGAGACGTTTGGTTGGAGGGAGGGAATTCCGTGAGAAAGGAATTGTAATTCCATGGGAGATGAATTACTGGGAATAAAGTATGAATTTAAATTGCATTGTTTGGTTTACAGGAATAAAATTACTGAGAATTTCAATTCCAATGTTTGGTATACATAGGAATTGAAAGGGAATAAGTAGTATAAAGTCCAAAATGCTCATTGTTGTTGTAGGTATTAATTTTAGGTTAAAAATGGGAGGGGGGTAATTTTGTCTCATCATTATCTTTTTTTCTTCCTAAAATCCATGGAATTAAAATCCTAATGGGGGACATGAGATTTTAATTCCATAAAAATGAGGGAATTACAATTCCTTCCAACCAAACTAAGGAATTTAAGTGGCCTTTGAAATTAAGTAGGAATTAAGTGAGAATATATTTAAATTTCCTCCAACCAAATGCCCTGAATATGAAAAGAATTATAAGAAAAGATAAAGCAATTTAAATTGCTCATAGTTGATCTGTTCAATATATATATATATATATATATATATATATATATATAAGTCACACCTGTATATGATTTGTATGTAATTTGGTGGATGAAAGATGAGGGTAGGCAATGGAGGGACATGGTGAGTGTAGTTGAAGGGTAATGTGAGGGGCAGATGTATTAATTGTCCCAAATGGACCAGGTTTACTATACTGGCCCCTTTTTTTGTGACAGCTTTTTTAGGCTGTTTCACTCCGTATTCTTTTGACTTTTTATATATGTTACCATCTCTTTTCTTCTTTATTTCAATTTAACCGTTTAAAGCAATTCATTTTTGGATATACCGAGAGTTTCCACGCAAATTATGCCATGGAATCGTGTTCACCGAGAATGGTGAACACAAGGCAAAACGACGTCGTTTTTAGGTAAAAAAAAAAAAAAAAATTTCGCGGATGTGGAGTTAACGGCGCGCGTTTGATCAAATTATGAATTTTCTGTTATGAGATTATGAATTTTATGAAAATTCATAATCTCATAACAGAAAATTCATAATCGCATAACAGAAAATTCATAATCTCGCAACTGAAAATTCATAATCTCATAACAGAAAATTCATAATCTTATAACAGAAAATTCATAATCTCATGGTTCCAAAGTGAATGTGTAGGCATGGTTCCAAAGTGAATGTGCAGACATGGATTCATAATTTATGAATGTCCGTGATTTCGGACAGGAATATGTAGGCATGGTTCCAAAGTGAATGTGCAGGCATGAATTCATAATTTATGAATGTCCGAAATTATGAATGTAATGAAAATTCATAATCTCATAACAGAAAATTCATAATCGCATAACAGAAAATTCATAATCTCATAACTGAAAATTCATAATCTCATAACCGAAAATTCATAATCTTATAACAGAAAATTCATAATCTCATGGTTCCAAAGTGAATGTGCAGGCATGGATTCATAATTTATGAATGTCCGTGATTTCGGACGGGAATGTGTAGGCATGGTTCCAAAGTGAACGTGCAGGCATGAATTCATAATTTATGAATGTCCGAAATCTTTGTTCACCTCAAATTAATGTGAAACCGCAAAATGTAAAAATAAAGAAGAAAAGTCACGCAATTAATTAAGAAGAAAAAAAAAAAGAAAAAAGATAACGGTGTACTAACACCGTTGGAACCGTGTTCACCATGAATGGTGAACACGGTTCCATGGCATAACGTCCCGAGTTTTCCACTATCGGACACAGTGACTAATTCTCTCACTAAATTGTAGATATCTTTTTTGGGTGAAACAGTTGATCTGGAGATTTAAAGCTGTTCCAATCCCAAAGAAACCATTAATACAATTGGTATGGAATATTTCCAACTACATCACATCGTATACTTGGTCTATATTAGAACTGCCTGCGGGGAAGAGCTGCACTCGGACAGGGCCGATCTCTTAGCACGTTGACCCAACCCAGGGTCTTTGAGCTAAACATAAGTCCACCTGTTAGCAGAGTCTGGCTCTCTTTGTTACGCCCCGATCATATCTAGTCAGACTGACCGTCTGACCCGCAATACTCAAGGTCCTAAAGCGTTGTTCCTTCAGGCAAATTCAATAGTGATGGGCCTGGTGAAGTGAAGAATCTCCAGGCACGTGGAAAGATCAATTAGGCCTTCGACCTACCCTTATGGATG